CAAAGTCTGTCTCAGTCTATAAGCTGGGCTGTTACCTGTGTACCAGGTGCATCTCGCTGGGTTTTAAACACCAGAGGCTAAGCCTCAAGACTCATGTCTACATGTCACCACAGTAGGACAAACCGACAGACAAGTTTGTCTTGCTGTTGAAGACCTCCTGTATCATCCCCACCTGGGTCCCTGTGGCTGACTCTTCCTCTGTCTGGCTTCCTGGCTTTTAATCACCTTTCTCCTGCTCTTCTGGCCTGCTGCTTTGGGCATTCCTGAGTTGTCTCTCCTCACCTGTATCCTTGGGCCTTACTGCTCTTCTGTCCAAGTTCCTGGTTTTTAATCCCCTTTCTGCTGCTTTCCCGTCCTGCTGTTTTGGGTGGGCCTGAGTTTCCTCTCTTCACCTAATCCCTTCATCTGATTGCTCTTCTCCCTGTCTTCCTGGCTTTTAATCCCCTTTCTCCTGCTCTTCCCGCCTGCTACTTTGGGCATCCCTGAGTTGTCTCTCCTCACCTATCCCTGGGGCTTACTGCTCTTCTGTCCGGGTTCCTGGCTTTTATCCCCTTTCTCCTGCTTTCCTGTCCTGCTGCTTTGGGTGGACCTGAGTTTCCTCTCCTCACCTAATCCCTTCAGCTGATTGCTGTTGTCTCTGGCTTCCTGGCTTTTAATCCCCTTTCTCCTGCTCTTCCCACTTGCTGCTTTGGGCATCCCTGATAGTAGAATATAATTGAACTTTTCTTCTTTTTTTAATCTTTAGATTATTTTTTGGTATTTTATCATGAATTTTCTTATGAAACTCAAAACTCACTGACGTAGAGTCGGATCCGACTCCTAGCAACCCTTTGTTGGGTTTCCGAGGTGGTGTCACTACAGAAGTAGATTGTCCAAACTTCCTTCTGAGGAGTGGCTGGTGGATTTTTCTTATAGGAGTGATTTTTATTCCATAGAATATATATTGGGAATCCCTTTTGTGCTACAAATTTTGGAAGAGATCTTTGCCTTTATTTGATTAATTTTAATCTTGTCATTATGCTTTTTATAAATGGAACTTCAACGTATTTTTTGAATGTGTTTACCGACAATGCACAGGATTGCAAATTAATCAAGTATGAGACAAGCTAGGACAGTGGTGCTGAATCTTGGAAGCACATTAGAATCAAGTCTGGGTAGCCTTTCAAACCTACTAATGTCTGGGCCAGTTCTGACCCATGAAACAGAATATCTGGAGGTAGCAACCAGACAGCTTAAGTGCTTCCCACTTGATTCTTTTGTGCAGAGAGATCATGAAGCCTAACTGGGCTAGTGGAACCTATGCAATAAAGATGAGTACAGCTCCTATTCTCACTGGTAGTGTGTAGACTTGAGTCTTATCTTTTTTTGCTCCACATTAAATTAGTCATTGATATTTTGAATTAGCCTCTTAATGGAATTAAGTTCTGAGAGTTGATTCTGCTTATGTACTTACCTATACCAACATTGTGTGTGTTGCAAGTGAGCTTAAATTAAAAAAAAAAAAAATAGTTATGCATTGATAAATTATTTTAGACTTTTTCCTGTTAATTTTTAAAGGTATGTTTAATATGTGTACCTTTCCTTTCTTAACAAGGAATAATGTTTAGTTCTACAATTCTTAATTTTTGTTCATTATTGAAGAGTTGAAGAGATAAGTTTTCAAAGTTTATGTCTGTGGATATCTAAAAGCATCGATACCTTCTTACATAAAATAGAAAGTGTTAATCTATAGACACTGTATCTCTTAAACTCTACATCTACTTATAAGTGGTCAGTGGAGACATTTATACAATTTGAATGCACATTGTTTTAATGGAGAAGAAGTGCAGAGCTTAGTAGAAAGGAGGGGATATGAAATGGGAACTGAATGTAATGTAGAATAATATCAGGATATATGATAACGAATTTCTCTGGGATACAACTAATAGATACTTCATGATTTTTTCCTAAAACCTTTGTGTGGCTGAATTGGAGCTTGGGGTAGGTAGGTAGTCTGAAAATTAATAGAATTAAAGTAAATTATTCAAATGTTAAATAATAATGAATTTCATGATACTTTAAAATGTGACCATCTGAGTGTATCCAGAGCTGTGCCATGATGAAATAGCTGTTAACAACTCCTCTGGTGTTATTATTATGGTCTGTCACCTTGATAATTTGTATGCTAAATGATCCTTAGACACTTGCTGAAGCAATAGTACACATTTACAAATTTCTTTAAATTGATGATTATCTAGACTTGAAACTTGCTTGTTCTGTTTTTTTTTTTGTTTGTTGTTGTTGTTGTTATTTTCTAATGGGTCCTAATTTGCAGATGTTTGGGTATTTCTTTGGCTTCAATTTTTCTCTAAATAGTGGATTAACATTTGCTGTTATGACAGTGATGTTTGTGTATATAACTATAGTTTCCTAGGTAGTCTTTCTCTTTATTTAGCTTTGTTCAAGAAAAAACAAGTCTTGTAATATGACTAATTGCTGATGAAGGGGCTCTGGTGGTGCAGTGGTTAAATCATTCCACTGCTAACCAAAAGTTTGGCAGTTCAAAGCCACAGCCACTCAGCAGAAGAAAGAGGAGGCAGTCTATTTCCATAAAGATTTACAGTCTTGCAAGCTCTGTGAGGCAGTTCCACTCTTTTCTATAGGGTTGGTATGAGTCAGAATTGACTCCATGGAAGTGGGTTAATTGCTGACAAAATAATGTGGTTATTTTTCTTTATGTTGTTGTTATAATGTTTTGGTATTAAGAAAAATCAACATTCACAGTAATGTTCTGATGTATTTACCTCTTTTCTCCTGCCCCCCCCCATGGTGGTGTAGGAGCGTGTTCCTGACAGCCCCTCTCCTGCCCCCTCTCTGGAGGAAGGCCGAAGGCCTGGCAGTCACCCATCATCCCATCGCAGCAGCAGTGTGTCCAGCTCCCCTGCACGAACCGAGAGCTCTTCTGACAGAATCCGTAGGTCTCATACTTTTACTTGTCACAATTTTCAACTTTATTAGGTGCAGCTGGCTTTTCTAATCAAAATGCCCTCATTCCAAATAGACCTCAGATGTATCATGTTCTGAAGCTGTATAGCAATAGCCATCTCTCAAAATTATGTTCCTAGTTTGCAGTATCATGAGGTATGATACTACATTAACAGGTTCTGATATAAACTCCCTCTCTTTGATGCCACCTATAAAGACTTGAGCTATGAAACAGTTATAGAAAGTTAGTAACCTTCTAGATTAGTTTCTGAAGTAAACACCCCTAACTCTCAGCTATTGAGTACCTGAGTATACTGTTATGGATTATTCAACTTCATCCCTACAATCCCAATGCTACCATTTCCAAAATTCTTTGATTTTTAAAATTTATTTTTGCACTGACATACATATCCACAAAGAGGAGTGAAAGAAGTAAAATTCAAAATGATGAGTTTATTTTTATATTTCTTAATCATTTAGATGATCAGTTTAAAACACTGGCTAAATTTTAGGATTGGAATAATTTAAAGCCTAAAATATTTATTATTATCATATATGCCTATGCATCACTTAACGTCTACCATGTGGTCTAGGTATTTCTATACTGAAATAGGACAGTGTAGTATGTGATTTGGATGTTGTTTGAACCACACATAACATATACTGTATATGTTTGTATGTATTAGATACATCAAAGTAACCCTGTTGCAAACTGCTCTGACTCTTGGTTAGCACCAGGAGCCTTGGGATTTGCAAACTTGCACCTGCAGTTGGCTGCATCTGGGTTCTTCCTTCTCTCCAAGCAGCCTAAGGAGCAGCCTCTGGGATCCTGGTTGGAATAGGAAACCCAAGGGACGAGGAACCAGTCCCAGCCCAATGTTTCCTGCAGGCACTGATCTGTGTGGGCTTTGGCAGAGCACCCACCAGCAACAGCTGCAGGAACTGCTGCTTGGGCCTGAGCCTTTGGATCCAAGTGCAGCTATAGCCATGCCACAAACTCAACACCTGCCCTGACTCTTGGCACCCTTCCAAACAAGCCTCTCTGCCTTACCCCACTAATGTATAGGCAGTCAGACATTGTCCAGATGAGCATCATGTGGTGCATACCTGTATTAATATATTTTTAATAGGGCTATATTATATTTCAAAGGAGCTCTGGTAGTACAGTGGTTAAGGCATTTGGCTGCTAACCAAAAGGTCAGTGATTCGAATCCACTAGCAACTATGTGGAAGAAAGATGGGGCAATTTGCTTCCATAAAGATTACAGCCTCAGAAACCCAATGGTGGGTGCTATATGTTGTAACTGATTCCATGACAGTTATTATTATTATTATTATATTTTATTATTATATTTTATGATCACATTTTCAAAATATTTAGGTTTGGTACTCATGGCCAAGAAAATTAATAGTAAAGTTAAAATTCCATTCAAACAACTGGTTATTTTGTGTCTGTGAAAAGAACTCAGCCTATTTTTCCAATAAAATGACTATATGTAAAGTGAATTTCTAGGTTGATAAAACCAATATTTAGTGTCTCCTTCCCAGGTTTGGTGGTACAGTGGTTAAAGTGCTTGGCTGCTAACTGAAAGGTTGGCAGTTCAAACTCATCAGCAACTGTGTGGGAAAAAAGATGAGACATTCTGCTTCCGTGAAGATTATAGCCTTGAAAACCTATAGGGCAGTTCTAGTCTCTCCTATAGGGTCACGATAATTTGGAATCAGATCAATGACTATAGGCTTGGGCTTGACTTCCAGGTTTAGTTATTGTTTTATGTAATCATATTTGTAATATGAACTTTATCTTTTTATATAAAATTTATTAGAGTTATGAAGATATTTTCATAACAGTTGTGAAGATATTTTTATATTTTTATTTTTATGACAGTTATGAAGACATTTTTATAATTTTTCTTTTAAAGTTACAAAGGGATGTTTGGGTAAAGCAGAACTCTTTATTAGTTAAATATTAGATTAAATTGTATGAAAATATTTTTTAAAAATTTAAATGGTCAATAATTGGCAACTCTGTAATTCAACATAATAGTAAATATAAATAATAAGAATATAAATTCAAAATTTAAATATAAATTCTAAATACAAATACCTATATATAAAATAGATTTCCCTAATTTCATAAGAGTTTATACTGTTTATTCATAAAAATAGATATATTATTTGACAGCATTACCAAACAAATAGTAACTCCTGAGGCTGGAAAATAAAAGAAATATAGAAAATATCTTTTCTATATGTTTTTATGCTATGCTAACACTAAAATCAGAAATTTAATGTGCATATTGACTGTATTTCTAATGCTTTTTATAAGATTTTGTCATTGGAAAAGGTACTGTCTTACTAAAGAAATAAAAAATGTCATGCTTTTCATAATATTTCAATGGAAATGAGCAAAATATTTAAGTGGAAATGTAAATGGACAAGTAGGGGAAGATTTGAAACATTGTATTATACTTTCATTTAATTTTATTAATTGCTTATTGTTTTTTATTCATTATAAAAGCAAAGAAGAAAATTTTGCATGCTTAGACTATCTAATTGTTCTAATGGATACACACAAATATATACATCCACACATGTATGCATGCATATGTATATACCTGTTGCCCGTCAAGTCAATCTGACTCCTAGCAACCATACAGAGTAAAGTAAAATTGTCCCATGGGGTTTTCAAGCCTTTAATCTTTACAGAAGCAGACTACCACAGATTGCTCCCACAGAGCCACTAATGGGTTTGAACTGCTGACTTTCAGGTTGACAGACTAGCACTTAACCACTATGCCACTAGGGCACCTTGTGCGTAATATATACACATGTTGTTGTTTGCCATCGAGTCTGACTCGACTCATAGCGATCCCTCCTTGGGTTTCCGAGGCAGTGTCACTATGGAAGTAGATTGCCCACCCTTCTGAGGAGTGGCTGGTAGGTTTGAAACACCAGCCTTCTGGTTAGCAGTCAAGTGATTTAGGCACTATGCTACCAGAGCTCCCATATACACAGATAGATGTATATTTATTTTAAATATATTTCAGACCAACAGAAAGTTTTCAAAAATAATACAAAAAAAAATTCTTGCATACTTGTCACTTAGATCCACCCTCCACACACAAAAAAATTCTTGCATAGTTGTCACTTAGATCCACCCCCCACACACAGTCCATCAATTGATACATCAGTTTCTCTGAGGACAATCACTCTATAAAGGCATAATACCCCCTTGTCAGTTACCTTCAAATCCACTCTGAGTCATGGAGAACTCTTGTGTGTCAGAGTAGGACAGTGCTCCACAGGGTCTTTAATACCTGATCTATAGAAGTAGATCTCCAGGTCCTTCTTCCAAGGGACCGCTGAGTAAACTCAAGCCTCCAAACCTTTAGCGAGCAACCAAGTGTACTAATAAACCATTTGCACCACCCAGGGATTCCAATACCCCTTGACTTCGTGTCCCTATAATAGATATAATGCCTCTTTACCTCAAATACTTCATTGTTATTTTCTGCAAATACGTTCTCTTACGTGACCACAGACAGCACTACGATTAACATCAGGAAACTAACATTATTATTGTACTTTTATCTAAACTTGCAGACCTTATTCAAATTTCACTAACTTTCCCACTAATGATTTTTGCAGCAAGACATTTTTCTTTCCTAGTCCAGAAGCCAATCTAGAATCTCCAACCTTGTCATCAGTTGTCACATCCCCTGAGTTTCCTTTAATCTGGAATAGTTCCTCAGACAGTTTTGTCTTTGAGGACCTTACCTTCTATGAAGAATAAACATCCCTCACTTTGAGTTTTGTCATGATTTCTCATGATTAACATAGGTTATACATTTTTTCCAGGAATCACAAAGATAGGCTAGTGTACCCTCAGTGCATTATTTCAGGAGATAGATGTTAGTTCTCCACTACTGGTGATATTAACTTTACCACTTGGTTGAGATGGAGCCTGCTAGTTTTCTACACTTGAAGTTGCATTTAAAAGTTTTTATTTACCTTTGTAATTAGTAAATATCTTGTGCAGAGATATCTTGAGATTATGCAAATACTCTGTTCTTTATCAAGTTTTCATTCACTAATTTTGGAATCTTCCATTGATGATCTACCCTGGAACAATTATTACTATAGTGGTTGCCAAATAGTAACCCGTAATACATTACAATCAATTTAAGATCTCTATTTTCCAGAGGGAGCTCTGGTAGCATAGTAGCTAAGACACTTGCCTGCTAACCAGATGGCTGGCGGTTCAAACCCACCAGCCACTCCTTGGAAGGAAGGTTGGGCAATCCTACTTCCGTAGTGATACTGCCTCGGAAACCCAAGGAGGGGTCGCTATGAGTCGGGGCCGACTCGACGGCACATAACAACAACAACAACATTTTCCAGAGAAAGTAAAGTTTTATGAAATAATTTCTCTTTTTTTTTTTGCACAAAATCAAGATATTCATCAGCAATTTTTTTGAGTAAATATATTTATCACTTTGTGAAAATCATAAGGGTGCTAACAGAATATTGTTAATAGTTCACAGAAGTACTTTTGATTTTAAGTTCTTTAAACTATTTAATGGTTATTATTCAGGCACTTTTAGTTTCAAGATTGAGTTTAAACTTCTTTTTAAAGTCCTGCTTTAATAGCTAAGAAACTTAGTATTTTATTCACTAGAATAGAATAAGAAATTGAAACAGTGATTTTGTTACCTTAACTTGTGGCCTTTCTGACACCACTGAAAACTTTATGTGCCCTCTATGACCACTAGAATATTACTTATTAAGTTTTTAACATCATAGTGTTAAATATTACTCTAATGTTAAGATTGCATTCTTGCAGAATTTAGGAAGGTTATATACTAGGGAGGTAATGTGGCTCACTAGATATAAGCTTGAATTCTTCATTGATAGTGATTATAGATAGATAGATAGATAGATAGATAATGGAAAATAAACATAAGATGAATGGTTACATTTACACTGTTTTTCTGCTTATCCTCAAAAAGTACTATGGTTATCTATTCTCACTAAATATTTTAGAAATAACTCTAAAGTTACAACGTTATCTTTTATTTACTTGTGGGTCTGAAAGAGTTTAATTTCTTTGAACATTGTGTGTTATGGTGTTTTTGTGTTCTTTTTTTTGGACTTCACAGCTGTCCATCAGAATGGGTTGTCCATGAACCAAATGCTGATGGGTTTATCACCTAATGTCCTCCCTGGCCCGAAAGAGGGAGATCTTGCTGGTCATGACATGGGACATGAGTCAAAAAGGTTGCATATTGAAAAAGGTAATATATGATTATATGGCCTTGTTTTCCTATTCAATATATAAACTAGATATTGATCACAAAGAATGTACATTTCTACATCGTATGAGATTGCATATACACATTTTAAAAACCTAAAATGTTAGGTAAAAATTAAGACTATTGAAAAAAAAGAGATATGTATGAAGATCTGGTGCTTTTATACAACAGGTAAGTGACAATTTACTTTCCAATACATTAATAAAAGAAAATAATTGTTAAAATTGTTTGATCTAATTGTTATCACTGAGTTCCTGAAGGTCTACTGTTTGTCTTTCTCAATGCCTTCAGGACCAATTGTCATTACTTAGCATGATAGAACAGCAATAATATTGGAAGAATAATTTTAAGTCTTTTTAGACTAGAAGACCCATGGTCAATGGCTAATGAGGAAGTAGAAGTGAATCTTACATAGCAATGTACTCGTAGTTATTTTTAAAATGTTAGGTAACAAGTAACATAAATTATAAGTTTGGAGAACTATGAAACCTTCTTATTTGTATCTAAATATATACAGGTATGCATAGCTTAGTCTGTTCCAATAATGTCAGACCACATATACATCAGTGGTCCCATGGTATGTGTGTGTGTGTTTAAGAGAAAACAGCTTTCTTTTTGTTTATTATTTCCTGTTAATAGTTTTAACAAGCCCAAGCCCCAGTGAGCAAGCAACAGGGCTCCAGGGTTCATCCCAATCTACTATGGCCTCCTCCTCTGCCTCCTTTTCCCCTGCTCCTGGTTTCGGTCACTGGTCCAGCAGCAGTGCTGACTTTCACTCTGTGGGCACTGGTGGTGCCAGCCAGGCCTAGGGTGCTTGTAGGCTTTTGGCTGTAGGTAGTGGCAGTGGTGGCTGCACATGATCAGAAAGCTGCGATATCAACAGGGTGGCAGAAGCCAACTCTGCTTCTGGCACCCACACACCCATTTCTTGTTGTCACCTCTCCCTGCCCTTCTCCCTTTCACAGACCCATGTGGGTATCACCGCCACCCCCATCCTGCTGGTGCTACAGCCCTTGCCCAGCCACACACTCAGCAAGGTTGGCCTCCTCTATCCAGTGAATACAGATCTTATGCTTTGTCTACCTGTGGGCTGTCATAAGGTTTTAATAAAATGGCTTTACAAGGATTTAACAATGTCCAAATCACATAACACCCTATCATAGAACGTATCGTGGACCTTAAGCCATACATACCTGTATATATTATGCCTTATTTCATGAACTGTTTTCATGAAGGAATTAAAATATTATTTTAATATGCATAATAGAAATGTATATAGTTACATGAAAATATATGTTTTCAACTTAAATGTTTTGAACTGGGAAAATAGAAGCTTCTTCATATCTATTTCAATTTTGGTTTATTGAATTAATATTTTATAATTTTTTATTGGATATGAGATGCTCTTCTATAAGCCAAAATATTTTAATTCTAAATACCTACATGATTTCAATATTTTAAATATTGTAGTAGAAAAGGTCTTCTTAAAGTAAATACATATATTTTTTTTAAATCATAGTCACAGGCACCTTCCCATGTTTCTTAGCCTCTATTCATTGGATGAACAACACAATATCAATATTAACTAATTTTACAAGTGTAGATCGAGCACTTTCACGATCTTTTAGGTATGGATATCAAATCATCAGTTTATGAATAAGAGTCGTTCCTTTGGAAAAGAAACTTATACCAAAGGTGCAATTATTCAACTGTCAAAAAAGAAAATAAATAAATAGAATAATCAGGGCCCATATAACCTGAATTATATATTTAAATCATTAAGAATGCAGAGAAATAATTAGAAAGAGATTAAATTAGTAAGAGCCAACCACTTTTTTTTTTTTTTCAATAAGACACTATTTACAGAAAAATACATAAAATGTTTTTGTCCATTCAACATGAAAGTATCCAAAGTATCCCCACTGGGTCCCTTAGGGAGAAGGAATGCAGTATTTTAATAAATTAGATGATCTGTATTATGGAATGCCAAAGAGAAAATGATAATTATTTCTATGTACTATCCATGGCAAAAAATGAGTTGTAATTGAGAAATAAGAGCATTAAGGCAACTTTCTAATAATTTATCTTAAAATTTGATATCAAGTGTTATTACTATACTGAGTAGGTTATAGGCAATACATCTCTGAGCCAGATGGTCTAAATTTCTATATCAATTTTTTTCCACAAGCTTCTATTCAACAGTAAAGAAAAAATTATGTTGTACATGTTGTGAATTATATACTTTTTGACATCTCCTTTTATCTTTAACCAAAAATTCATACACTTTAATGTTATGAAAATTAGCATAGTGAGTATATATAAAACTGTATAAAATATGTACATTTTAAGTTATAATATTTTAATAGAAGATTAATTTTATGAGGTGAGGAGCTTCTCCACCACAGTTCTTCAGGAGAATGAAGCACTACAGAAAATTACTTTAGTCATTTTTTTCTCAATTCTCCTGTGATAATTTATATTGCTGTCCCTGGGTGCCCTGAGTTGGTTCTGAATTATATTCTGTTGTATCCTGTGTACAACAGAAAGAAATAATGCTTGATCCCGTGCCACACTCACATTCATTGCCGTCTTTGAGCCCATTGTTGCAACGACTTATCAATCCATCTTGTTGAGGGTCTTTCTCTTTTTCACTGATTGTCCATTTTACCAAACATGATGTCCTTCTCTAGAGACTGCTCTCTCTTAATAACATGCCCATAGTATGTAAGACAAAGGCTAGCCATCCTTGCTTCTAAGGAACATTTTGGCTATACTTCATCCAAGACACGTTTGTTTGTTTTTCTGGCAGTCCATGGTATATTCAGTATTCTCTGTCAACACCATAATTCGAAGGTATCAACTCTTTGTTTTTGTTATTATTCATTGTTCAACTTTTTCCTGATTGAAAATACCATGGCTTGGGTCAGCACACCTTTGTCTTCAAAATAACATCTTTAATTTTTAATATTTTAAAGAATTCTTTTGCAATAGATTTGCCCAATGCAATACATCATTTGATTTTCTTGAGTGCTGCTTCCGTGGATGTTTATTGTGGGTCCAAGAAAAATGAAATCCTTGACCACATTGATATTTTCTCCATTTATGATGATGTTGCTTATTAGTCTGGTTCTGAAAATTTTTGTTTTCTTTATTTTGAGATGTAATCCACACTGAAGGCTTTAGACTTGGATTTTCATCAGTGAGTGCTTAAAGTCACCTGCTCTTTCAGCAAGCAGAATTGTGTCATCTTCATATCACAGGTTGTTCTTCATATTGTTCAGATTCTCAGATAATTTGCTCATGAAGCAGATTGAATAATATGATGAAAGGATACAACCCTGACTCATACATTTCCTGATTTTATATCATGCAGTGTCCCCTTGTTCTGTTGTAATGACTGTCTCTTGGTCTGTGTATAGGTTCCACACGAGCACAATTAAATATTCTGGAATTCCCATTCTTTGCAAATATTCATAATTTATTATGATCCATACAGTCAAATGCTTTTGCATAATCAATGAAACACAGACAAACATCTTTCTGTTATCCTTTGCTCACTGCAAAAATCCATTTGACATCAGTAATGATATCTCTCATTCCATATCCTCTTCTGCATCTGGCATGAATTTCTGGCAGTTCCCTATAAATGAAATGCTGCAAACCTTTTGAAATTATCTTCAACAGTACTTTACTTGAATGCACTATTAATTATTTTGTTTGATGACAAACATTCTTTTGAGTCATCTTTCTTTGGAATGGACACAAATCTAGATCTCTTCCAGTTAGTTAGACAGGTAGCTGTTTTCCAAATTTCTTGACATAGACAGACAACACAGTGTTTACACTGTTTTATCCATTTGTGGAAACATCTCAGTAGGTATTCCATCAATTGCTGGAGCTGTTTTTTTGTTTTCTTTTAGTGCAGCTTGGACTTCTTACTTGAGTACCATTGGTTCTTAATCATATGCTGTCTCCTGAAATGGTTGAACATCGACCAAGTCTTTTCTGGTACAGGGACTCTGTGTATTCTTTCTTTCCTGCAATGTTCAATATCTTGCTGATAGACTCCTGTAATATTGAAACTCTAGGCTTTGATTTTTTTTTTTTTTTTTCCATTTCTTTCAGCTTTAGAATTGCTAAGCATATTCTTAACTTTTGGTTTTCTAACTCCAGGTATTTGCGTATTTCATTGTAATACTTTATTTTGTCTTCTCAAGATGCCCTTTAAAATCTTCTTTTCAGCTCTTTTATCTCATTCTTTCTTCCATTCATTTTAACTACTCTATTCCCAAGCACAGGTTTCAGAGTCTCTTGTGACATCCATTTGGTCTTTTCTTTCTTTTCTATTTAATGACTTTTGGCTTTCTTCATGTGTGATGCCCTTGATGTCATTCAACAATTCATCTGGTCTTCGTTTGTTAATGTCAGATGCCTTAAATCTGTCTTGAGATGGTCTTTAAATATAGGTGGGATATACTCATGGTCATACTTTGGCTTTCATGGGTTTGTTTTAATTTTTTTCAGCTTCAACTTGAACTTACATAGGAACAATTGATAGTGTGATCTACAGTCACCCTCGCCCTTGTTCTGAATGATGACATTGAGCTTCTCTATCATCTCTTTGCAGAGATGTTGTCCTTCTCATACTTGTGTATTACATCTGGGTAGGTCCATATATATAATCACTGTTTTTGTGGTTTAAAGAAAGGTATTTTCAGTGAATAGGTTGTTGGTCTTGCAAAATTCCATCATGTAATCTCTGGTTTCATTTCTCTCACCAAAGCCATATTTTCCAACTACTGATGCTTCTTTCCAATTTTCACATTCCAATCACCAGCAGTTTTCAAAGCTTCTTGATTGGCTGTTTGATCAATATGAGACTGCTTATGTTGGTAAAAAAAAAAAAATAATAATAATCTTCTGTTTCTTCATTTTGGGCATTAGTGTTGCATACATAAACTTGAATAATGGTCATATTAACT